TTCTACAGTGACTGGATCAATATCTGTCTATGGGAAAAAAGAAGAATCAATTATTAATAGCAATGATTTTCCATTGTGTTGAGAATCACTTTTGTGTACCATGTACAAATTTCCAAATTTTTATGGAATGCTAGCAAAGTAGCCACCAGGAAAAAAGAAAAAAAAAAGGATAATTGGAACTATTGTGGAGTACTTTGTTACATTTTTTTTAATCTTTCTACATGTTGTAGTTTATACCAATTTAAATAGGGTAACATTTTTATAGACGTATCTGGTAAAGAACTGCACAGTTCTAATTGACCCAGAGACATGTGTGAATCATATTATACTTATATCAAATTTTTCATAAATTGATATATTTACAGAACGTACAATCCTGGTTGTTGAGAAAGATGGTGAGGAGAAAGTTTTTCAAAAGTATGTAATGTGATGTCAGTGCTGTCCACACAAATGCCACAAGGTAACATTTACATAAGATAGCAGCATATTCATACTATGCAAAGCAGAATTAAAAAATGAAAATAAAAAATAGTGTTGAGAATAGAATTGACTAAGATGAATTTGGAAATTATTAATGATTTTTTGTGCTGTTTCTTGAGAAATGAAAGCTATGCACATCGAAGTTCTCCCGAAACAGAACGCATTTTATTCCTCTGCAGTTTGTCCATCAGGTTTCTCTCTGACAACATAATCCAAAACTAATCCTCAGCATTCAGCTTTCCTTGTTGGCTCTCATGCAGGCTGCTTAGACAAATCCTGCTACCTGTCAGCTCTCCTGAATGTGCCAAACAGGCAGCCAGGTTAACCCCAAGGGAAACTAGGAGACCTTGTGACTTAACCCCTGCTTCCCTCCTTAAATAATCCACTGTAAATATATGTTCAGACCAGGGATGGTCCACTTCACATTTGTTTCATAGACAGCTCTTAAGAAGTGAGGATCTGGGGATCATTGCAGCTACTGTGCTGATATTTCAAAGCCTTGTTTCAAACAGTAGGCGATAGAAGGATTGGACACAGTGATAGGTCTAAATCCCTTGATGCAGTTTGTCACCTTGATGAGTCTTGTATATATCTCCCAAATCAGATAAACTCTCACACACTGCCAGTTCAGTTCTAATTCAATCACACTGATAAAAGACCATCCATTTATTTCTTTATTTATGTGCAAGCAACACCAAGTACCAGATCTAAAAGTAATACAAAAAATAATGATAAAAAAACCCCAACAAGATCAAAAAGAAAAAAAAAACAAAACTCGAGAACAATCTCTGTCCAAAATACTCACTGTTCTAAGTCTGGTCCTCATTGGAATTCAAGTCACATCTTACTAGGGGCTGGTACAGCATCCAGAAATCCACAGCAGAAAATAACTTGCAAAAGCACGGTATACCAAAGAACACTTGAAAGCTCTGTTAAGCTACCCACAAGAGAAATGCAATAAAACATCACTCATCTCCTTTGATGTGTTCAAGGCATATTGTCCAGGTTAATATCCAAAGAGAGGACAGGGAAGTTAATGTACAAGCAGAAAAGCCTTGGTTTTGCCACTGGCAATGTCCATTGCGACTTGAGATAAGAACATTTATTTTACCTCAATTAAATGTCAGACATTCTCCTAAAAGAAAGAGAAGCCTTGGTGCCCTCCCCCCTTCCCTGCTCACTTTCTGCCCCCTCCTTACTTTCACACATCTAAAGACATGCAACACATCCTATGAGTATCACTTGTCAGAAGCTGCTTATCAGCTCTGCATCTTTGATTGAGTGTGCATCAATACTGATGTTTTATTAACAGTTTTTTTTTTTTCATCTAGTAATGTTGCTGTTATTTGCAGACCATTTAAACCTATAAACCACCCTTTCAATTTAATTCTACTTTACAATTTTTATTCTGACCTGTTTGTTAATAAATAAGCATTTACTGTGCAATGCAGGCCTATGTGCACAGCAGCATCGTGCTATTTACAGTACAAGTATTTGTTAAGGCTTTGACTGCAAATAAATGTAATATTAATGGAATATATAGTGTCAACCTGCTAAAGGGAATGCCTACTGAACTTAGAAAGTAAATTGAAGGCTGCATTTAGTTTATAAATTACACAAAGTTTGTAGAAAATGATATTTTATTTTGTAAACCACTAAAAATACTCGTTTACTGTTCTTTTTTTTTTAACATGTTTCTCTTCCATGTAAAATATCAGCCCTGGACCCTTGTGAACTGGAAAATACATCCGTTTACTAAACTAGAAAGGAATAGGTGTAACATTTTTATTTGAAATAAAACGCACACATAGCCCTGCATCATCCATCAGAAAACCTTGTGAAAAGTTACAACTGAGGAGTTAAATTGCACCACTATAGTGCCAGTTATGAAATGGTTTGTCTCTGCTGGGAAAAGTCAACAGTCATTTTATTGAAACAAAATGTTGCTTGTTTGGGAGCTTAAACTGATTTCCATGACCAGGGATGAGCTCAGCATGTTTGTGCATTTGTCTGCTGTGTCCCTAGCAACCAGTGACGTTATTTGGCCCATGAATTTGCTGGTAGGTAATCTCTGGCCATATAAATTAAGGGGGGAATGGTGGTTGACATCATTGATCAAATTTGGCCATGGTCATAGGCCAAATATGACCATAGCATATTTGGTCAGTGATGTCAGCCACCAGCTCCATCTCTTTGTTTAAATTTCACAAGACAGTTCGGTGAGCTGTCATTATCTGCAAAGAGTTTCACAGGTGGGTGACCAGTGGTGTTTTTTGTTCTTTCGGTGATTGGTGGGCATCATTCACTTAAAATGATGAGGATCTGCATTTATTTTCAAGAGAAGTACAGAAAAAAAAACAAATCCTCTTTGATGAGGGTCTGGCATGTATTTAGGGGGTTCTCCAGGCTGGTTTTAACAAAAAGAAGGGGAATGTTCAACAATTTACATACCATTTTGTTCCTTGAAAATGTCCCATTTGCTGTAATACTTTGTATATATCCTAGAGATGTTCCACTTCAAAGGAAAGTTTAGGGAGAACTCCAAGCAGGTTTTTTTTATAAGGAATAGGAATAGTACATTTCTAATGTTTCACTTTAACCTCCTCGGCGGTATGATTCTTTCCGATTTTTTGTGCTGAAAGCGGTACCATTTTTTTGCATGGAAATATGTAGTTTTTTATTGTAGGCTGTAATTTTTAGGAATAACTCACTGAAATCTGTACGAACAAGAGTCTAGTAAACATTCCGGGTATGATAAAACTTGAAACATGAAAACATAAATTATAATTTAATAAATAATCATAAAAAAATAATAATATAATAATAATAATAAATTTAATTCAATAATATAATCAAACCAAAAACACTGAAATTTGAAATACAGAGGCAAATTCGCACATCGCTGAGCAAAGTCGCAGAATCGTTTTCAGTGTCTGATGACGAATTTCCCCACGAATCATTATTACTCAATTCTGCAAGTGGTTCTGATTTACTATCGGTGTTCTAAAACCGCTTTTGACGTAAAGGGACGCTTTTTGGACGCCATGGACTTTTCTAAGTTTCCAGGCAGAAAGAACATTCAAAATGCAGGCAGGGCACAGGACAAAGCAGTAGGGACAAAATGTATGTGAAATGCAATGAAACAGCAATGACAGCAAAAATTACATTTTTTAAAAATTGCATATTTCCCGCCGATTCCGGCGCCCGTACGTCCTGACGTCACAGGGACTGGAACACGGAAGCCGGATGCCGGCATCGGCCGGAGGAGATGGCCGGGGACACATCACGGGAGCGAAGGACAAGGTAAGTGCTGCAGGGACCCCCTGAGCAACGCCGCATGGTAAGCCCGAGTGTAGCTCGGGGTTACCGCTCTTGGTACTGAAATTTTACCCCGAGCTACACTCGGGAAAACCACTAAGGAGGTTAAGCAATGATAAAATTACCGCTTTTCACATTATTTATTTATTTATGTGTTATTTTTTTAATTGGTACATGTTCCCTAGGGCAGCACCCTGCCCCCGAGCCCTTTCCTTGCCAATGTCTTGCCTATTAACCTTGAAAATGGAAATAATTGATGTTACAGATTTAGCTTTTATTGACTTTGGTGGGGTTTGGATTTTAAACCTGAACTTGTATTATGTTTAAGAACGTCCTGTGAACCAAATCCAGTTACGTTTGGCCCTTCCCTATACATAACAGGTGCGGTTCTTTCAAGAAAAGACAGTTCTTGCATTTTTTTTTTCTGTCCATGGCCAGCTTAAATTATTCTTTAGTTAGTTTTCACGCAGTGAAGAAATTGCAGCTATTGTACAACTGAAAGATAGGTAGTTCCATAACAAATTTTGCTAGTGGTTTAGCCATTTATAGATAAAGTAGATCTAAACACTAATTGGATGATACATAATTTTCTAAACCACTGTATATCATAAAAAACTGTCATCTTCTTTCTTTTTAAAATTATACTCTTTTCACCTTTTTTGATCTTTTTGTTGCATCTCAGTATTGTTGATCTCCTGCAGTCTGTTTTAGCCACTTCATGTCTACATGCACTCTCTCTACCACTGGCTGTACATCATTGCTTTGGACCCAATTTCAGACAGTAACAATGGTGGATCATGACTGTGTGTTAGTCTGGTAGAAGGTAGTCTCCTTTAGGAGTGCTTGTTACAGGGTGATAATGTGGGTGTACAATTGGGAGGCAGTTGTCACCCCATGGGAGAAAGTGCCTGAACAAGGACTCTCATGGCAGGATTGCAATGTATTGTATAAATAAAAGCATTAGAATTAAAAAGAGTTAAGATAATTTTTAAAAACTATATTAACATGCTACAATTTACACCAGAAACAGCAATTCCTATTGCACACTGACGACACTAACCTGCTGCCTCTCAGCTAAGCAGCCCAGCTGAACTGGCTGAGATTCGATCCATCTATGGCTGGCTTTAGTAGCAGTGTTTTCAACATTCCATATACTCCTCCAGTTAACGGTCAGGCTGCCTATCAGGTCTGCAGTTCAAATGCTGCTGCTTATTGAAAAGCCGCAGCTTAGTGATGTCAGCCTGCAACAGGAAGTGCTGGTACTCCAAGTCAGGGGCGGACTGACAACTCATGGGGCCCCCGGGCAATATGGGATCATGGGGCCCCTGTGTCCTTGCCCAAACTCAAAAAAGCCTATGAAAAAGGTACCAGGGGCATTTCAGGGAGCCCCTTACTGACCCCGGGTCCTCGGGCAGTGCCCGAGTTTCCAAATGGTCAGTCTGCCCCTGCTCCAAGTAAGAAGCTTTACAACAGATTTACCAAAACATTTTGCTTAAAGTAATTTTAAAGGTTCATTTTTTTAAAATAACAAAACATGTCTATACTTACCTGCTGTGTGCAGTGATTTTGCACAGTATAGCCCCGATCCTCCTCTTCTCAGGTCCCCCCGATGGAGCTCAAGGCCCCTTTGCTTACCCCCATAGCAAGCAGCTTGCTATGGGGGCACTCAAGCCACTGCTCTGTGTCCTTTCACACATGAAGAATGGCTCAGTCCCACCCCTGCTCTTCTCTAATTTGCTCACTGTCTGTTAGTGACAGTAGCGGGAGCCAATGGCTACCAATGCTGTCTCAGTCAATGAGGAGGGAGGGACCCGAAGAGCCAAGGCTCTTTGCGCATCGCTGGATTGAGATGGGGCTCAGGTAAGTTTTAAAGCACACAGAAGGTTTTTTTTTTCATGCATAGAATGCATGAAAAAAACAACCTGCCCCCTTGCCGACCACGCATAGCCGAAAGACGCCGGCTCACAGTGCATTGCGGGGCACTCATGACGTCCTCCCAGAACGCTCTCCTGCGCGCCCCAGGGGGCGCGCACCCGGCGATCTCCTTCACACACAGAAATCACCCCTCCCCCACCGCCTTTTACTGCCACGTGATCAGCGGTGTCCAATGAGCAATCACAGGAAAATGCAAGTGCCGGTTCTCGGCTGCACTTTCCTCACGCTGTCAGATCGTGAGTACTGCCGAGAACCGGCAGTTGTCACTCAAACCAGGGCACTGATGATGCCCTGATGATCGGTGCCCAGCAGTGACCCCCGCAAGTTCCGATCAGCCACAGCCCCGCCCACCACATTCCCAGCAGTGCCCCCAAGATGTGCCCAGCAGTGCCCCCCCCTGTGCCACTCTGCAGTGCCACCTACCTGTGCCCAGCATTGCCACCTACATGTGCCCAGCAGTGCCACCCACCTGTGCCCACCCACCTGTGCCCACCAGTGCCACCCACCTGTGCCCACCAGTGCCACCCACACTGTGCCCACCCACCAGTGCTGTCCACAGTGCCACCCACCAGTGCCACCCACCAGTGCTGCCAGTCAGTGCCAGGGGTTGTGCCAGTCAGTGCCGCCAGTCAGTGCCCAGAAGTGATGCCAGTCAGTGCCGTCTATCAGTACCCATCATCAGTGTCACCTATCAGTGCCGCCTATCAGTGCTGCAGGGGTGACCCCTAATTTGTGCTGTCTATCAGTGCCGCATCCGGCCTCATTAGTACTGCCTATCAGTGCCCTTTAGTGCTGCCTATCAGTGCCCATCAGTGCCGCCTATCAGTGCCCATCAGTGCCGCCTCATCAACGCAAATCAGGCTGTGAAGGAGAAAAAATACCTGTTTGAAAAATTTTATAAAAAACAAATAAACTTTTTTTTTTTTTTCAAATTTTTTGCACTTTTTTTAATTTATAGCGCAAAAAGTAAAGCGCCCAGTGGCGATTAAATACCACCAAAAGAAAGCTCTATTTGTGAATCAAAATTTCATATGGGTATAATGTTTGACCGCGCAATTGTCAATCAAAGTGCATAGCAAAAAATTGGCCTGGTAAGGAAGGGGGTATAAGTGCCTGGTAGGCAAGTAAGCTTTTGCAACCACTTTAAGAAAACTGTATACATTGAAGCATTATTCAAACCATAGTGAAAATTTTGATTTTGGGTTTACATTCACCTAACATGTTAGTATTAAGATGTGTCAGTATTTTTCCACAGCTGCCAATCAGATTCAAAATTTCAAAAACTACTTAGAGTTTGACTGATTGCTGTATAGAAATATTTACTTTTTTTTTTTCCAGAAAACCTGATACTGTATATGATGATCAATGTTTGTTAGTTAGTACACACTATAATTGTGCGGTTGCGTGAGACATTTGTTTGTATGTTAGATGCTATTATTAATCACATGTCATATGGACCAGAGGTTACATTTGCACTGAGGTCCAGAGGAGTTAACCTTTGCTCTGGTTCTCAATATATAAAAATAAAATCAATTTGAGTATACAAAAGTACAGTGTTACTCTGAAATTAGAAATAAACTCTTCTTTGTGTTAAATAAAATTATAACCTTCTTATGGAAGTTTACCATTAATCAGATAGTTGGGACAACTGTATTAATGTAGTTTTCCTTTGTATATGGCTACAAAAGGGACTCTGTGAATTGCATCATGTGCAGTGTCTGTTAGAAGTGCTCCATATGGTTAGAAAACAGTCAGCTTTAGTAACATGACTCTTTGTCACTGCGCCACATATCCTGGAACATACTTCAAATTTCCTTTGCTCATTTAAGTCAAGGCAGATTTCAGTTAGTGGATTAAGTGGAGCAGACAGAGCCAACATTGAGGCTCACCACTTACAGCCTATAAGGACCATTCATTGGCATAATTCACAAATCCCTCGTTTATTAATAAAGGTAGTAAATAGATATTTGGCCTAAACTTTCTAAGTGAAACAAAGTAACCAATTTAGAAATAAAGACATATTTTACAAGGACCTTAGTTAAAGTAAAACTTCAGTCAAAAAATAACAATATAAAAAAAATACATAATCTATTAAAAGAAAAGAAATAACAAAACTTGTGTTTGCTGCTTTGCTGAAAAATTAAACTTTCATTTAGAGATTTCCCCACAGTAATCTTTCTGTTGCTAGATGCCCTCAGTCTGATGGCCAGCATCATTTAAGCCGCTTCTTCAGAGACAAGGTCATCTGGGACCCTTTTCAGTCTGTTACTGGACAGTGTAAGGAGAAGCAGCATAGTATTTAGTGAACTTGTCACTTTGCTCTCTTCTCCTATCAACACACTTTTAGGGCCAGTTCACAATACATGCATTTCAGTTGTGTTTTTTCTGCATCCAAAATGCACAGAAAGTAGGTTATATGGTTGTCAATGTCGTAGTTCAAATCAGTGCTTGCGGTTCCAGTGCGTTCCAGTAGAATTAAAAAAAAAGTAGAACATGCTGCATTTTGTCTGCACAGAACAGTACTAGAATGCAGTTATATGAATCAAAAAAGCACTGGAATGCACCAAAAATGCACTGGAACGCACATGTCCCCATTTAAATTGAAGAAAAAATTAACTGGAATGCATAAAAAACACACTGGAAAAATGCATCCGGAACGCATCTGGACTGCGTTTCTATAGTGTGAACCTGCCCTAAAATGAATTGATGGCTTCTTCTGCTGCTTCTCCCTATTACACTCCAGCCCTGCTACACAGGGACTGCAAGGGACTGATACTAGGTCAAAATGGAAAGCCCCTGGGATAGTAAATGGTGCAGAGTGCAGTAACAGCAGTGCAGGAACACTGTGCTCCCCTGCAGGTTAAGGTGCCCGCCCAGCATGTGTCCTGCATGTGGTCTCACCTGAGTTGACTCAGTTGAGCTTGGTCCGACTCTCCCCTGCTCATCTAAACACTGGATCCAAACACCTCCTTGGGACTTTTAGGGGAAAAAAAGAAAAGTATGTATCATCTAAAAAATAATATCATTCTTTATTCCAATTACATGAAGTTTTCAATAAAATAGACCAACAGGTCAATAAAAATATTTGACCATTGCATTCAATACAGTGTAGAAAAAGGTTTGCTAGCAATACATAATAAATGTACCCAATGGCAGAAATATACACCAAATATAGACAGCCAATAGTCTAACATGACTTGCTCAGTTGAAGTGTGTTCTTCCAATAGATCCCAACATGTTTCAGAAAATAATTCCTTTTTCAGGGGGAAGAAATGGGTTCTATATTGTGACATACAAAGATCAGTTATATATCAAAAGTAACAAAACAGTAGGAATACGGGACAAACCAATATGGGTATAACAGTACAGAGAAAACAATCTTCACATGCACTTACATCGTCTGTGGGGGTAATGCTGCAAATAGGATCACACAATGCTGATGTCTGCCAGCATCTACAAGATCTCACGGAACAATCACTTTACAGTGGGCAGATGCCAGTCAGGCCTGTCACAGGCAGCGCCCCCCCAATTGAATTGAAGCTGTATGGGGAGAGGAAGAGGACAGATTACTCTGCCATGACAGGGCTGCAGCCAGGACTAGAGGAGGTAAATGTGCTGGCGCTGGCAATCCTGAACAGCATGGGCTCAAGGGGTAGCTGCTTTGGAACCCGCAACAATGACTCGGCCTAGGGCAGCTGCATCTTTTGCCCCATGCTAAAGACAGCCCTGATTAATAATGACAGAGCTGCATTATTTTGTGTGTCTGTCAAAAAGTTCAGCTTTAAAATGTTTAGAAATCACAGGAACTATGACTAGGATTCTAAAAAGAAGCAGATCATGCAAGACAGTTAAATTGATATGTAAACTATGTGACTTATAAACTATGGTTTTCATTCACATATTTTATAAATTGATGTATTTTATAAATTGATATATTAAATAAACTTTTTATACATTTTATAGGTACCCATAAATATTCTACACAGTTGCATTCAGTTTACAGAGGGCTATTTGATTGTGTATGTGCGTGCAATGATAAGATCAGAGCATTACAGACAATCGTTCTTTCATCCTCAAAAAGGTGGGAAAAAGATTTTTTGGTAAAATTATTATTATGCAGGATTTATATAGCGCCAAAGGTTTGCTCAGCGCTTCTTGATAGAGCACTAATACCTTGCAGGGGCGGACTGACAACTCATGGGGCCCCACCGGGCAATAGGGGATTATGGGGCCCCTGTGTCCTTGCCCAAACTCAAAAAAGCCTATGAAAAAGGTACCAGGGGCATCTCATGGGGCCCCCTACTGACCCCGGGCCCTCGGGCAGTGCCCGAGCTTCCAAATGGTCAGTCTGCCCCTGATACTTTGCCATCTCAGTGCAAGGTAAGCTTCTTCACTGGTTATTTGAATTTTTTTGTGGAACATAAATAATAATACAGAAACCCAACACTGTGGATATGGATAAATACAGTAATTTATATTCTTTTAGCAAAACAAATCTGCCTGCTCTTATTTGGCATATTTAAAAAATTATAATATTATTATTATTCAGGATTTATATAGTGCCGACAGTTTGCTCAGCGTTTTACAATATAAAGGGAGACAATACAGCAACGATACAGTGCAATACAGGAGGGCCCTGATCCTTGTAGCTTACAATCTAACCCCTAACAATGAACATCCCTAATTTTCTTCCTTTTGGTTTGTTAAATATACCAATAAACTGATTTTAAAGGATCATTTGTTAAAATAAAATGGGGTTATACTTACCTGCTCTGTGCGATATTGCACAAAAGGTCCCTTACCTGCTCTTCTGGCAGTTCCCCACTGACGTCTGCTCTTTCCACTCCAGGTGCCTCCTGAGCAAGCTGAGTACTAAGGAGGCAACCGTGCGTGCTCGCTGCTGAGCTGGGCTGTGTGCATCAATAGTAATGCACAGCACAGGTAAGTCAAGTCTCTGCTCTCTCCTCACATAATTTTGACTTACAGCAGTGGAAGACTATGGCTCTACTGCCTTTAGTTTTTCATGTGAGGCCAGGAATTGAGGGGAGTGGTGATGGAGCAGTGACAGGAGCCAGGTAAGCGTTTACGGATTGGGCTGGGTAGGACAGGTGGTGGGGCATCTTTTACATTAAGACAGAGAATGCATTAAAGTGGTTGCAAACCTCTGACATGAAATATGAACAAAGCATGTCCCACCTTAGTGTGTACTTGTCTCAATCCAGAGCAGTAAGTGTAATTTCTTTCTGCTGCCTCATCTGAATGAGTAATTTCTGACAGGTTTTCCTAACACCAAGAGATAAAAAGGTGACAGGGAAGGGAGCTCCAGTACACAGCCTGTGTTTGACAGCCTTAGCTCTGCTCCAGTGTGCTGTGTGAAGGGGGGATGTCCCTCCCCTCCAATCAGCTCCCACTGAGCTCTGCAGTGTAATTTCATCTACCTGCCCTCTGCTTTCAGAAAGCTCAGAAATGCCGTAAAATTCTGAATTTTGAACTGCTGTAGAGAAGGGCTGCAGATAAAAAGGTACCACTTATGTATGAGGATTTGTTTCATCTCTTTGTATTACATGAGGCTAGTCACTTCACTGGGTATATGTAAGGGTTTACAATCACTTATAAAAAACCTTTAGACTTTAGAACTATTTTGAAAGCATTTTGTTATATCTGTTTGACAAGTCCAGAGAAATATCTATGATATGATGTCAGATATTCAGAGCTGTCCTGTGTCGTGCGCACATTTTCTGTATTATCTCAAGGAGTCTGAAAATCTCGCGTAGTTCTTATCTTGGATTACAGAATAAATATTGGGAGGGTTTTAGTAGTTTAGCAAAAGGTAACTGGGCAGGTCTGACACCGCTCAGTCCTCGAAATGCAGTTTATTGTCAGCCCACAACATGACTTAGGAGCTGAGAGCATTCATAACAGATCACCAGGTATTTTTTCTGTACTTATAGGGTCTTTAAAAGAATTAAACATGAGAACAAATTTAAGTATCACAGAGATGCACTGCATATGTTTTCTGTTTTGTTTTTGTCATACGCTTGAATTATGCTGTTTGCCTATATGTGTATATGACTGTTGACTTAAATAGTCAAAAGTTGCTCTCCAGGCCGTGTGACTAGAATATCCAAAGGGAATCTGTGATGTGAAAAAAAAGTTTACAAATTAACATCACCAAAATGTACATTTAATTTCCTGAAAACTGTGTAAGACATCTATTTATAGGCACACTGACCAGTTAGGCCCTGACTTTGTTTATATAAAAATCCCGCCCTATCAACAAAAGACTTTTGCTTATCCCAGTGTAGGGACCGCTTGCTAAAGCTGGCCGTAGATGGACTGAAATTTGACCGGTTCAGCAGGGACTGGCCCAAATTCGATTAACCTATGGCCGTTCCTGTTCAAGAATAGGGAAGGCAAGAGAGCTAGTTATATTCCAGCAGCTCCTTCAGTGTTGGTACATTAGTGTTATACCTTGATAGATAAATTTAAGAAAAATAAATGTTACAAATAATATGCACTAGTTCAATACAATCAAACTGAGTAAAAGTCACAAAAAAAGTCTAAGATTTGCCTAAACTGCATAATGGCCAGTACACAAGATGAGAAAAAATGCATTTGGAGTGTTCGTCCGATAATTCATTCATTAATACCCAGTTTTTGAGAGCCGATCACTACACTTTATGCGAAAATATCTGAAGGGACAAGCACACATTTTTTTCATAACAGAATGATCGATTTTCATGTAATTATTATAGTATTTGTACGAAAAAAATTTGACCACACATACTCTGAAACTAACACAATACAATGCTTTACATCACTTCTAAAGTTGTATTCTGCCTTACGAGAAATTTCGTAACTTTAGTAACCTATACATTTTTATACGAGACTAACAAGCAAAAAAAAAAAGCCCCGAAGATGTCTTTTATGACAGAACGCATTGGGTGGAGCCTTCTCTGTGACGTCATCATGTACCGATTTACCAGATGTACAGCATTCCACGTGGTTTGGTGATTACACTGCAATGCCTATGTTTTATTTTTGGCTATAAGTGCAATTCTTTTAAATAAATGGCAATTTTTACCATCTGCACTATGAGATGCACATTTTTTATTCCCTTATGATCATATGTACATCCATATCCATGGCCATCAGTGGAGCTGTTGGAGATGCTGTTGTCTGGTCTGATGTAGGACAAGTCCATTTTGCCATACTAAACAAAGCGCTTGCTGAGCTCTCTGATTAGGGGTCAGTGTATTTGGTAAGCCCCCATTTTGCATGCAAGAAGGTGTGGGGGCCACTGGTGTTCACTGAAGATACAAGTAGCACATTTTCACTTTATGAACACTTTATGTTTATTTGTTCACTAGTGTAATAAACAATATTGATTTATTTCTATTTGCTGTTTTTCACATAATATGTTAGCACAACACACAATTATTATTATTATTATATACAGTATTTATAAAGCGCCAACAGTTCACTCAGCGCTGTACATTACAAAGGGGGACGGAACATGCGACAGTACAGTAACGATACACGAGGGGTTCAAGGGCCCTGCTCTTTCAAGCTTACAATCTAGGAGGGAGGGGATAGTGGTACAGGAGGAGATAGCTGTGGGGGATGGAGTGGTAGGAAGAGTGGAGGAGGTCAGCAAATTAGCAGGAGGTGGGGTAGGCTTCCCTGAAGAGGTGGGTTTTCAGGGTACACCTAAAGAGGGGAGAGTAGGTGATAGTCTGATGGATTGGGGCAGGGAGTTCCAGAGGATGGGATGGGTGACACCCTGGAGAAATCCTGGAGATGGGCATGGGAGGAGGAGACCAGGGAACTAGAAAGAAGGAGGTCTTGTGAGGAGCGGAGTGTGCGTGTTGGGTGGTACTTGGATATTAAGTCGGTGATGTAATTTGGGGCAGTATGGTGGAGAGCTTTGTACGTCAGTGTTAGGATTTTGAATTTGATCCGTTGCCCAATCGGAAGCCAGTGGAGGAATTGGCAGAGGGGGATGGCGGAAACGGAGCGGTTGGTAAGGTGAATAAGTCTGGCTGCCGTATTCAGGATCGACTGAAGTGGGGATAGCCTGTGGCGAGGCAGGCCAGTGAGGAGGGAGTTGCAGTAATCGAGTCGTGATATGATGAGGGAGTGGATGAGCTGTTTACTGGTTTCTGGGGTTAGGAATGTGCGGATTTTGGCAATGTTGTGGAGGTGGAGTCTGCATGAGTTTGTTAATGATTGGACTTGGGGCTGGAAGGATACGTTGGAGTCCAGAATGACACCAAGTACTCTGGCCTGCGGGGCGGGCCTGATAGTGGCATTGTTGGATGTGATGGAGAAGTCAATGGGGAGTGGTGTGCAGGCTGGGGGGAAGACTAGGAGCTCGGTTTTGGAGAGGTTCAGTTTAACCTCCTTAGCGGTATTCCCGAGTGTAGCTCGGGGTAACATTTCAGTACCAAAAGCGGTAACCCCGAGCTACACTCGGGAATACCATGCGGCACTGCTCCGGCATGTGTTCTTCACTTACCTTACCCTGCGCTCCCACGATGTGTCCCCTGCAGCGTCCTCGGCCATCTCCTCCGGCCGATGCCGGCATCCGGCTTCTGTGTCCTGTCCCTGTGACGTCGGGACGTACGGGCGCCGCCGGGAAATTTAAAAATTTTAAAAAATTTCATTTTTTTTTTTTTTACATTTTACATAGTAAAACATTGCTGTCTCAACCAATTTCACATACATTTTGTCCCTAGTGCTTTGTCCTGTGCCCTGCCTGCATTTTGTCTGTTCTTTCTGCCTGGAAACTGAGAAACGTCCATGCATCCAAAAAGTGTCCCTTTAGGTCAAAAGCGGTTTAGATCAGCTAGAGAACAGCGATAGTAAATCAGAACCACTTGCAGAATTGAGTGATAATGATTCGTGGGGAAATTCGTCATCAGACACTGAAAACGATTTTGCGACTGAGCTCAGCGATGTGCGAACTTGGCGCTATATTTCAAATTTCAGTGTTTTTGGTTTGATTATATTATTGAATTAAATTTTTTATTATTTTTATATTATTTTTATGATTATTTATTATATTATAATTTATGATTTTGTGTTTCAAATTTTATCATACCCGGGATGTTTACTAGACTCTTGTTCGGACAGATTTCAGTGAGTTATTCCTAAATATTACAGGCCTACAATTAAAAAAATACATATTTCCATGCAAAAAAATGGTACCGCTTTCAGCACCAAAAATCTGAAATAATCATACCGCCAGGGAGGTTAAGGAAGTGGAGTGACATCCAGTCTGATATGTCGTTCAGTAGGTTTGTGATTCGGGCGGAGACTGAGGGGGTGAGGCGAGGGGTTGAGAGATAGATTTGTTTGTCATTGGCATAGAGGTGGTAGTT